TCCCTTTCTCCTAGCCTTAGCAGCATGGGGTGGAGACCCTATTAATCATTGTAGTGATTTTGATTATTTTTGTAGCTTTTTGTGCTTGAGTCGATGTGAATCATGAAAATGGAAATCACAAAAACAAGTGACTATGGACTTCTCAATCTCAGCAAAGAGGAAAGAAGAGATGAAGACTCCATGTCACCTTCACATAGTCCACGGTTGCTATCTCAAGGAAAGAAAGAAAACATTAGAACTACTTAAAAATGTAATTTTAGCACAATATATCGTTACCTTTCAGATGATCAGACTGGAGAAAAAGAGGAGGAAGAGCAAGACAGTAATTTGGACTGCACATTGAACCGACTAAAGCACATCAACTTTCAAGCTTGCTCTAAGCAATGAAAGGTAAGTGAGCAAGCAACTCGAGTGAAACCCGTTTATTAATTTCTAACCAACTAGAGTAAAACCCATTTACTGAGGCCCTGAGCTTTCCCTGATTCCCTCTCTAGTGTATGCCAATATGTGGGCCTTCCTCCTAGCTTTTGGGTCCTAAGTAAGGAAGCATACCTGACTCTAAGCTGCTTTCCAATACTTGCCAACCCACCAACCATTTAGGATAGATGCTAATTTAGAGCGTTCAATTAGACAATATTTAAAGAAATAATTGTCATATTCCGGTTTCTGTTTCAATTCCAAAGGTGACAGTAATCCCTTCGAGTATTTCTTGCTGTCGTGAGAAATGTAGGTCCATCCGATACTTTAGTTAAACTTTGGGAAGCTGCTTTCAGACTTGGGAAACCAGAATGGCTCAAAAGGCATCATTTCCAAAGCAGAAAAATCAGGGTTTGGGCCTTTTGGAATTCAAACTTCATCAAGCTTGTGCACAAAGACACAAGAAAGTATATATTGAAGTTGGAACCACCTACCTATTGATAGGTGAGATATGAGAATTCAACGATAAGGAATGTGAATATTGACAATTCTGCCCCCTTCCCTCTCCATAAGGTGTTGTGTAATCCAAGGACCATTTACGATCCCAAGTAAATTACCTAGGCCTGCTTCATTGCAAAGGTAGTGGCATCTAATTGCCTTCAAGTTCTCGAATTGCAAGTACACTTTATTCTTTGGTTTTACATTATTTATTTATTGGTTTTTAGAAAAAGGATAAAAGCCCCATGTATAACCCCTTTAGTTCTTATAAAAACAAACAAGGTATATCTGAACACTTGATTTTACAAAATAAAATAAAGGGTAAATTACAAAGACCCCTCTTTTACTATGGGTCAGTGATAAAGTCCCCCCTGTACTTGTTTTGCGACAAAGACCCTCCTTAACTTTAGCTGTTAGACAAAAGCGTTAAATTACCAAAATATCCCACTAACCTTTTTCTATTTTCTTTTTCTTGCCCTTTTTCTCTTAAAACATATTTGGCCTAGGAAATGGATATATGATTCTCCAAAGTGATTCAAGCACATTAGATGATGATGTTGAATCCGAAATGAGCTACTGGTCTCGCCCTCGGGAACCCGGATTGACTAGTTACATGGGTGGGAATCTCACTCTTGCCGGAACAATCATCCCTCTCATCACCAATCTCTCTTTCCTCCGCCTAATCGACTTGCAGAACAATAGCTTCAGCAGTTACCTTCTAACAGACTTGGGCAAGCTCTTTTGGCTATAGACGCTAATTCTAGCTTCCTATGTCATCCATGGAACCATACCCTCCTCGCTTAGCCTCTGTTCTAAGCTTCGGCTTCTTGATTTGTCAGATAATCAGTTTCACGGGTCAATCCCACCAGAATTAGGTATGCTATCCAACCTTCAAGATTTGGCTTTTGCAAAGAATAACCTTACGGGTTCAATCCCTTCTTCCTTTGGAAACCTTTCCTCTCTTAACAAMCTCATCTTTCTCTCAAACAATCTACAGGGATTCATTCCAAATGAATTAGGTCAGCTCCATTTCTTGTTACAATTAAGCTTAGCTAATAACAATCTCTCAGGTGAGATTCCCACCTCTCTATACAACCTTTCTTCTTTAATAATCATGAGTTTGGCCAAGAACAGGTTTTCAGGACATTTTCCATCCAATTTGTTCTTTACTTTACCCAATCTAGATACCTTGTTTGTGGGTAGTAACTTGCTACAAGGACCAATCCTCGCATCTCTCTCCAATGCTTCAAGCCTGAAACGACTTGATCTCTCATCCAACCAATTCACAGGACAGGTTCCCCTGCTCTGGAATCTTCCAAATCTTTTAATTCTGAATCTTGAGATCAATGGTTTGGTAAGCAACGGTGAAAACGGATTGGATTTCATCACCTCATTGCAAAATTCCACCCTTCTACAAGTTTTTTCTGTTGCTACAAACCAACTCACTGGTCCTATTCCCTTCCTTGATAGGTAATCTCTCAACTCAGCTTTCTCTGCTAGTAATGGGTGAAAATTATCTTAAAGAAAATATACGAAAGAAATTGGGAATCTACATATTCTCAAAATGTTGTCTATAGAATCAAATTCCTTAACCGGGAACATTTCTTGAATGTTTCAAAACCATTGTTTTTATTGTAACCATTTCACCTAACTTCAATGGAGAATACAATGAACAGTATAAAAGGGTAATTTGGACATTTAAAAAATTTTAAACAATGGGATGAAAACTTTTTCTAAAGTTCAAGGGGGTCTTTGTCACAAAAAAAAAGTACAAAGAGACTTTGTCACTGACCCCATAGTATAAGGGGGGTCTTCGTAATTTACCCTAAAATAAAAGGCTATGAGTTTCTTTTTATGCTATGTAATTGGTTTGCTGAATGAATAGAAATGGAAGTGGCTTCCAATAAAAAAAAGAGGTAAAATTCAAACTCTCTTTTTTATGATAAAATTCTTTAGTTGCTTGAAAATTTGGAAGGTAGTTGGATGTACAAAGAAGAAACTAAAGCAATAACCAGACCAATCCACCAATCAAAACAGTGAAATATACTTTCCTTTTTAGTTAAATTAATACGAAGGCAAAAACAAAGATGCATTAATTCACCATATAAAAAACGACAGTGAAATGCCACTTCGAGTTTCTACGTCACAATTAAGCCAAAAAGAAGGCTATGGCGGTGCATTGTAGGGTTAATAGCCCTGAAGTTTTTGACAGTTGCTAAAACCCCCCCTCGTGTTTGGTAATTGCAATCATTTTCTCTAAATCTTTTGACACATTTGCAAATAGACCCCCTGTTAGAATCCTCTAACAAGAGGCACAAATATGTCCAAAATACCTAGCAATTACTTTTGACCAAACTTTTTAATTTCCAATTTTCTTTTTATATCAATCACTATCCCAAGCCCTTTCTATCTTTTATCAATTGCTCAAAAGTAAACTGAAACTTCAAACTTTCTTTTTTTTCGGTTCATAAAGTTTGTATTGTTTATATTGTAGAAGCCATCCTCAATAGTAACTGCATGTATAGTTTAGACATTTTTGTCTCTTGTTAAAGGATTTTAACAAAGGGGTCTATTGGCAAATATGTTTGAAAGTTCAGGAAAAGTGATTCCAATTACCGAACAGCAGGAGAGGTTTCAACAACGGTGAAAACTTCAGGGGATGTTTCAGAAATTTCCCATGCATTGTGTCAAGATCTACAGATTATTGGGTTATCGTCATCAGCACCGTCAAACATCATTATAAACACCTAAACTCAAACATAAAATGCAATTCACCATCACTATCACTATCACTATTATCAAACCTACCATGGACTTGATTTGCCTACTCCCATGTAGACCAAGAATTCATAACATCAGCCAGAAGTCCGTAAGCAGCATATAACGAACCTATGGAGGGCTTGGTATATGAAGGCATGGATCAAAGCAGTATAACTGCAGGCTCTCCGTAGTAAGGTCATTGGATCTCAATCCCCTCTCCACTCCCCTATAATGTCATCATCTTCACTAAGCCTTATACCAACTACATGTGGTTGCTACCTGAATCCTATTTTTTTGGCATTAGTTCAGTTTGATTTCATATCCATTATTAAATTAGTAACACTTCAACCCAATGTTTTCAAACCGTCATTGACCTGGATGGCCGGACCACTCAGACCAGAAACCATTCAGGCGACCGATTCCGTTTTACCCCAAACCCGGTATTTAGTAAAAAATCGTTGAATTAGTCAACAAACCGTTCGACCTGGAGAATGGTTTGCTGTAAAGTTTTAAAACTGAGAAATCTCAGATCTACGCAGATGTCTTTCTCACGCGGGAAGGTGAGAGATCTGAGATGTGTGAGATCTATGCGAGACGGTGAGAGAGTGAGATCTGAGACTGAGAAATCTCAGATCTGCCACCATCGTCGCCGCTGTAGTTTGCCATCGCCATCGCCGTCGCCACTGCAAGCCTGCAACCAACAACTCCTCCTCTTCTTTTTCTTCTAACTCTTTCAGTTCAGCCAACAGTTTTCTCAAATCTCTCTTATTCAAAGTTTCAACCCTTATTTTCTCTTATATAGTATGCATCTTACCCTAACATTCCAATCTAATGGGTAAGATATTCAAACTGTTCAAACTGTTTGACCCAGATGGTCGAACCGCTGACCCAAAAACCAGTGGCCAGAACGGTTCCATTTCCGGATCAGTTTTTAAAGCCTTGTTTCAACCATTTCTTACTACATTAATCCATTTCCTTTTTGACCTACCCTACCTTTTAACCCTTTCAACTTGCAATAGATCACTTTTTATGGATGTTGTCAAAGGTCTTTTATGCACATTACCAAATCATCCTACTCTATTTTCATCTTATCACCTATTAGAAGTTTAGAACTATTCGTTCCTTCCAATGACTTCATTTCTACTCTATCCTTTCTAGTTTTTCCACGAACCACCGAGGATGTATATAACCGAGCATTCGATTCCGAGCATTTAATAATGGAATAAATCAAATCAAGTATGTACATTTGATGGCTATTTTGTTTTGTCATGCTTGGCACGAACTTTTAAACTGATTTTTTTTTTTCTTTCAGGACAGAAAAAACCAGAAATGCAAGTCCTTTCTCTTCCATTCCGATTATTTTTTAAGCGTTAGGACAAAAATGATAAGTTATCTCCCAACAAGAATAAACAAACAGAAATTAAACACTTGACTAAAGTAATATAAACACTTGACTAAAGTAATATAATTGTGAAGATGAAACTAGATTGCAGATGCCATATTCTCCATGAGAAGCTGCATGGCCTATCGAAATTCAAAAATGCCTGTTACTAGCCTTTAGTCTCAAGATGCATACAGCTTGGAGAGCTCTTCAGAAAATTCTTTCCTAATGACTTCTCGCTTGAGTTTGAGAGCTGCAGTTACCAGGCCAGATTCTGGAGTCCATGCATCAGGAAGCAATTTAATTTTGGCTGGAGTCTCGAACTTCTCCAAGCGAGCATTCTTTGCAGCCTGTAGAGGAACAGTATGAAATGGTGAAGATGACATTGAAAGGTCTTTCTTGTTGGTGAGTCTGGGTACCACTTAATAATATCTTGTGTTTTGGCAAAAAATATTTGGGATTGGTTTGCTTATTTATTTGGGTGCAGGTGGCCACCTCCAACTAGTCTGCAAAGCTTGCTTTCCTCTTCACCTATTGAATGCTCAACGAAAAGATCAAGAATTATGTGGAGATGCATGAGAGCAGCTGTTTGTTGGACATTATGGGAGGAAAGAAATGCAAGGATCTTCTCGAAAAAGGAGAGAGGCTTGGAAAATATGGTAGAGTTGACTCATATAAGAGTAATACACTGGCTGAAGACAATGAAAGAGTTTACAGATTTTTCAACAAACAATTTGCTAAGAAAGTGGAAAGAAGTTGCTAGCTCAGTTACAAGGAAGAAGACTTTGAATCTCATGTGGAACCCTCCACCTCCTGGTTTTATTAAACTAAATTTTGATGGCAGTAGCATGGGGAATCCAGGGCCTTCAGGTATTAAGGGGGTCCTAAGGGATGAGAGAGGTAATGTAATAGCTTTGTTCTCTAGTCCAAATGGAGTGGGAGACTCCTTGAGGGCTGAGGTGTTAGCAATGTTGGAAGGGGTGCAAAGGGCCAAAGAAATTAAAGTGAAGAAACTGATTATAGAAGGAGATTCTGCGGTTGCTGTGGATTGGCTGAAAGAAGACACCTCCAAGATGTGGAGCTACAGCAATGAGAAAAGAAAATTCAAGTGGCTCATTAAGGATATGGAAGTCCTATGTACTTGGGTTAAAAGAAATGCTAATTCCTTTGCTGATGGATTGGCTAGGCAACGAGTTTTTAGAAATTCTGGGTTTTGGGCTCAATTGTAAGGTTCCGAGTGTTTAAATCAGATGTGTATTTCTGTTCTGGGGAGTTAAGAATCTTTAGCTCCTCTTCCCTGTAACATTTTTCCAATATTAATGAATTCTGTGGTTATTGATCAAAAAAACATTGAAAGGTCTTTGTTTTCAACTATTTTATTTTCTGAAAATCAGCACTATGAAGTCATTAACAAGCAGATTTTCATTTTAGTTCCATTCATGAAGAAAACAAGGCAAAACATAGTACATAACTAAACAATATGTGAGTGTACCTTAAATTCATACTAGAACTTAGTAAAGTGGAACTATATTGAGTCTTCTTATCAGCTGATTTTTACATTTACCACAATTCATGCACTAGACTTCAACAGCTTATCCCAAGGACATTCAGTAAGTTCTATTCTACACTCAGAAAGAACCTAGGACTCAATAAAGATAAAGAAAGATGAACCAAACAATAACGACATAACACAATACAATTAACTAACTTAGACACATTAGAACCAAAGGCTGCTTGCTCTTCAAGGTGATATGTGACTTTCTTCAGGAAAATCCAACAAGTATATCACATTTGCCCCATGACCACTCCTAATCACCTTCCAAGATTCATATCTTAAAAAACACAGTAAGAAGGGAGAAAGGTTACACTATAGTTCAAGGAATTTGTATTTAGTTTTAAGCTTAGGAACATGAAGGACTAAAGATAAGGTGAGGGTATTTGAGGCTTTGATGTCCCCTTGCTAGAGATAGGAGAATGAGAGCCATCAGCAACACAAATCTTGTCTCGGCCAGATAAAAGCTTGGTAATTAGAAAATAAATGAGACACACTAGTCATATGGTCAGAGGCACTAGAGTCTTTTATCCAAGGAATCCTACGATTACCTAAGATAGAAGCATGATTCGCAGTGACACGAACACCTAAATGAGCATAGGCAGAAGATGAACCATTTCCTAAGGAGATAGTAGTTGTAATGATAAATTCTAAGTAGTTGATGAGTCAAACATACTTAGGGTTGTCAATGGGCTGGGTCCAACCCGATGAACCCGATGACCCAAACAGATTGGGTCGGTTCTGGTTCCTGATATATTGTCCCGATTATTATCGGTTTGAATATATATATATATATATATATATATATATATTAAATAAATTAATATATAATATATTTTCAGCAAGTTTATTATAATCGGGTTAGACCCGATTGTCTGGAGAATCGATCGGTTTGGTTATGGGTCTAAAATTACATACCCCTATCGGGTCAAGTTCAGTTAGGGTCCTTAGTATTTTTTGTCGGGTTTATTCCAGTTCTACCTATACCCAACCCAGGCCTAACCTGTTGATAGCCCTAGCTATACTTCTCATACTCTACATTGGCAACCTATAAGTTGTTCCCCTATTGATTTTTCATCGTTGGAACCTTTCTCAATCTTAGAAGAGGTGACATTGGCATCGCCACCTTTGCCATTGTTATTTTCCTTACCATTATTATTGCTCTTAATGTAGCTTTCAGGACACGATAAGTGTCCTTCGTATCCTTTGGTTTCTTGCAATACTCACACACTACATCTTTCTTCTCAATGCTAGCCCTTGGCTTCATTCCAGCCTTGGAATTGAAGTGGCCCACTCACAAAAGGGGATCTTCATTTCTCAAAGGAAATACATCCTAGATCTATTACAGGATTCAGGAAAACTAGGGGTTAAGCCAACTGACTCTCCCATTGATCCAAATCATAGATAGGGTGATTGTTGTGGTGAGATTATCAAGGATGTAAAGCAATTCCAGAGACTTGTGGGAAGGCTCCTATATTTGTCCATGACCCGGCCAGACATTGCTTATGTCGTCGTTGTTCTTAGTTAGTTCATGCATGCTCCTAAGACCACACACTTAGAGGCATCTGAGAGGATCCTCAAATATCTAAAGAAATTTCCGAGAGCTGGTTTGCTATTCCAAAAGGATGGGCATTTGAAGGTTGAGGTATATACAAATACTGACTGGGTTGGACCAATTTTTTATAGAAAGTCCACTAGTGGGTATTGTTCTTTTGTGGGAGGAAACCTAGTCACATGGAGAAGCAAGAAACAAAGTGTGGTGGCTAGGTTTAGTGCTGAAGCTGAGTATAGGGCAATGTCCCATGGGGTGGCTAAAGCTATGTGGATAAAGAGTTTGTTGAGCGAACTGGGTTTTCAAATTGATAGCCCCATGTCTTTGTATTGTGATAACAAGGGCAACCCAATTCTTCATGATAAAACTAAACATATTGAGGTTGACAAACACTTTATCAGAGAGAAGATTGTTAATGGGGAAGTGTGCACCCCATATGTTAGTTTTGAGTAGGGCTAGCAATCTTGACTCTAACTCATTTGACCCACCCAACCCACCCAATCTATTGATGGATCAATATGGGTCGAGAAACCCATTAGGGTCAAGATGGGTTGGGTCAAAGTCAATTCTACCTATACTCGCCAGATCTCAAAAACTAGAAGCTATAGTGATTCGAACTCAAACCTCCTAGCGTGCAAACATTTCATTACACTTCCAAACCACTACCAAATTTAATTTTGTTAATGAAAGTGAAATAAAATAAATTTTAATACCTTTCATGTTCGCATGCAATTTTATACAAAAACACTCTTGCAAAAGCAATTGTACAAAGTAATTTTATGAAAAGAACTTTTACAAAATCACTTTTAGATAAGTACTTACGATAGTACTTTTATAAAAGTACTTTTACAAAAGCACTTTATGAAGTGCTTTTACGAAAACACTTTTATGAAAGCATAAAAGCACTTATAAGTACTTTTATGAAAGCACTTTTACACGAAAGCACTTTTATTAAAGTACTTTTACGAAAACACTTTTATGAAAGTACAAAAGTAATTTTGTAAACGTACTTTTATTACGAAAGTACTTTTACACAAAAGCACTTTTACAAAAGTACTTTTATGAAAGCATAAAAGCACATTTATGAAAGCACTTTTATGAAAGCATAAAAGCACTTTTATAAAAGTACTTTTACAAAAGTACTTTTACAAAAGTACTTTAACAAAAGCACTTTTGTGTAAAAGTGCTTTTATGAAAATACTTTTATGAAAGCACTTTTATAGAAGTACTTTCATAAAAGTACTTTTGCGAAAGACGGACAAAAATCATAGAAGCTTTAAACAAAGACAAAAGTCGTACCAAAAATCTTCTAAAATCAAGGCGAATCAAGCCATGTAGGATTCATGTACTGTCGCCAACACCTATACAGACTGCTGACATCATCTGGCTGCATCATCTCGTAGAAGAGAGCCAACAGGAAAGGTATTCCCAAGTGCCTTTACCTGCTCTGATACCAAGTTGTGAAACTAGTGTTGTAAATCTAGGGTTTGTATAAGAAAGAAAGAAAGAGAGAGAAGAAGAAGAAGAGGAATGTGTCAAGTGGTGTGTTTTAATTACTGTTCACACCCTCAAAGGCAATTTATATTTTGAAACAAGAAATTACAAGGAGGCCCCTACTTGGGTGCCCAAATACAAAGATAGTACAAAGAGAAGAGGAAAAGACTAAAAACACCCTTGCCTAAACTTTGTCAACACAAAAAAGACACCAGGAGCTTTTGTTGGAAATTACGAACTTCTTAGTGTCTTTACTCTCCAAACACATTGACAAATACTCAACCCCATTTACGGAGCTCTCAATGGGGATGGCTCTGTTCAGGTTGAAGGTGGTGGTGGTGGAGTTGAATTCAGATAGAGAGATGAACCTGAACGGACCCACTGCTCTTGTGGTGTTGGTCCTTGGTGATGGTGGCAATCTGGTCTCCATGCCTTCTTCTAGGGGTTAAGACTAGGGCTGAGAAATATTGAGAGGTGGCAGAATTTCTCAACTGACATGGAGTTCAAAGAGATGCAAAGACAGCTGGGACGAAGTGGGACAACATGCTGAGTGATTTCAGGAGGGTTTACAAATGGAAGAGAGGTGGTGAAAGAGAACAAGTGGAGAAGGAAAGCCACTTTCATGTCTCGATTTACAAGAAGAAAATACATAGATTGCCAAATTCGTTTGTTGAAGAGGTCTTCAAAGAGTACTCTTGGTTCATGGGTCTTCATATGAAAAGCTCTCAGAGCAGAGGACCTGCTGCAGTTGTTGGAAGAGATAAAGGAAGATAGCTTTTACTGGACTGAATGCTCTCTCCCACTGCTACCATCTCCTCCTTTCAAAGATGATGACCTCTCTCTCTGGTATGATAATAACATTTTAAGGATATATAAACCAAAAACAACCTTTTTGGTGGTGAATGAGAACAAGTAGGGAAGGAAAGTTACTTTCATCTCTTGACTTACAAGAGGAAAATATATAGATTGCCAAATCTGTTTGATGAAGAGACCTTGGAAGAGCAGTCTCGGTTCATGGGTCTTCATACGAAAAGCTCTCAGAGCAGAGGACCTGCTGCAGTTGTTGGCAGAGATAACAGGAGATCAGCTGTTACTGGGCTGAATGCTCTCTCCCACTGCTACCACCATCTCCTCCTTTCAAAGATGATGACCTCTCTCTCTCTAGTATGGAATAACAGTTAATGAAATATAAACCAAAAACAACCTTTTTCAACGAAAAGAATAATTTTTTTCATCGTTGTGAATTGGATTTTATTTGGGAGGTTGCAACAAGCGTCAAGCAACCAGGCATGACGGCAACTACAGAAGCTTTCTTCATGGTGGTTGAGGAAGCTTATCTGGGGTTGAGACTTCATTGGAGATCATGGCTCCGTCATCTTCTTCATCTTTTCAATGTATAGTAAAGACCAAAATGACTAGGAGAAATTTGTAACTTTCTTAGCAGTCTGAAATTCTGGATTTTGAAACCATTAACCTGGCTTCGACCGAAGAAGAAGAAGAAGAAGAATAGAAATGAAGTTTAGACGAGGTGTTCAAATGAAGGATACTTTTGGCATTTTAAAAGAAAACTGCCAGAATGCTAATGGCCGGAGTTGAGTTGATATTTATTTAGTTTAGGTCCTTGAGTGTCATTGCCCCAAAAGTACAGGGTACCTATCTATAATTTTCCCTAAAAAAATAATGGCTATTTAACATGTAGACCATTTTCTAAATCTATGCTGATTGATTTCTAAGATATAACAACCTAGACACGGAGAATAGCAAGAATGACCACTAGGCTCTAGAAAAAGAAATCAACAATTCAACAAGAAAAAGATTTTCATCAAACCAATTTACTTAGTATGGGAAATTCTGATTTCATATGCAAACCTTTATAAGTGATCCATGCACTTCCTTCATGGTTTCTTCTTTCTGGCACAATTCAGAGAACTCATTAAAAATTATTCCTTGCATCCTAGCCCAACCTTCCACTGTGTGCTGTGAAGCAACTACAAGAGCAACACAGTAACTATGAAATGGATCGGCATGCAACATGATATTGTCAACATAAGGACTTGTGATAAGAGCAGCCTCCACCTGTAAGACAAAAGGTCATTATCTGACAGAAGTATATATTAAAAAAATAAAAAGAAATAACACTAAAAGCATCCATACCTTCCCAAGAGATACATATTCTCCATGTTGAAGCTTCACAATATCCTTTTTACGGTCAATTATTTCAAGGCAACCATCAGAATGAAATTGCCCGATGTCACCAGTGTAAAACCACCTCATTCCGCTCTCATCAATCTTCATCACAAATACATTTAACAGATGGTCAATGTACTGCATGTAAAATTTTTTTTCGGCAGGTATCCCCACCAATGAATTACACTCGTGCAAAACTTTGAGACTCTACCTTATAAACTTCATTTGTTTTTTCTTCATTTTTGAAATACCCTATTGTAACATTTGGTCCACCAATAACAATTTCTCCTCTAGGCATTGGTGAATCACTAGTTAAATATCCGCCTTCAGGCCAATCAATCAACTGCAATTCAAAATCTGATTAAATATCCTTGAAGTTATACTAAACAAGAGAAGTAATGAAAGAATGACTAAATAAAACACTCGGTGCAAGATGATAAAATTAGACTAAACAATTTTCAGCAAAAAATTCATCACAGAACATAAAGAAATATTTTACTGTATCCATTAAAAATAGATCACGATGGATAAGGAGAACAGAAAGAGACCAGGAAACCATGTGCTTGACTGTGATAATCATGACAAAAAGAAGAAACTAACTATGCATGCCTTATTGATGCATATTAATGTCTTTTCTCGTCAAGGAGAGCTTGTGTAAGATATAAATCCCTCAATGATGATAAGAAATACAACCATGATATCATCTAGCATCTGTTTCATCTTATATATGTAAATATGACAATCATAAAGCAACATACATTATGTTTGTTCTTAGCAATTTATAATAGATAATAACAGGATGCAATTTTGATTTCCAGCATTTAGGAAAGTAAATTGACAATAATAAAGTAGGCAGATGTATCTAACAATCATAAAAAAAAAAAATATCTTTTGATGGGCTGTTAAAATTAGACCTGAATAATTAAAGGGAGTAACTTATCTTAAGCACTAATGACCAATACCCAATTAAAACTTGTGGTTGTAAAAGGTTAAAATATTGATTTTATGTTTATCCATCCATGGTATTTAGTATCAATTTAGTCCATTTACTTACTGTCACACTTTCAACTAATCAAAGCACCATTTTCCCCTTAGCTACCATTCAGAAAGGTTAATAAATTATTATAATAAAACCAATCATGAAGTTTGGAGTTAAGTTGAGGCATTTTTTTTATCAGAAACGGTAACTTTCATTAGACATATTAAGAGAATACATTGTCACCACCCAGTCAAGTGTGTTTACCCCAAGAAAAGCACTTTCTGATTACAGAACAGCCCAAAACAAGTTTTCCCTGAAAGTTCCTTGCTTTGCAAGGGTGTTGGCTAGTCCATTCGCTGACCTCCTTTTCCACTTGAACAGTGGCCCAACCTCCCTTGCTAAGCAGTTTATTTCCCTCATGAATTGTCGATGTACCCAGGCCCCCAAGTTATGTGACTGCAACCACCCAATTAATAGTTTAGAGTCCCTTTCTACCTCAATTTGGTGTAAGCCCCATTGTTTAGCCACTCTTAGACCTTGTAGCAAGGCTATAATTTCTGCTCTCAAAGAGTCTCCATCACCTATCGGACCTGAATACAGTGCAACCAGTCTGCCCTCCCTGTCTCTGAAAGCTCCTCCCACCCCAGAGGGACCTGGGTTTCCTAAGGAACTCCCATCGAAGTTCAGCTTCACCCATTGATGTGCAGGAGGGATCCATTGCTCCTTTAACACAGACCTCAATGAGGAAGAGTTTGCCACAATGTACCATCCTCTAAACAAATCATCAGCTAAATAATCTTTAAATAAAGGGGATATTTTAAGCCAATGAATGACCTTGGTAGATATGCAGTCAATGATTTGCTCCTTAGATCTTTCAGAATCCTGGAAGATCCTATTGTTTCTTTCTTCCTAGATTGACCACAAAACAGCTGCTCTTGTTGCTCTCCACATTACTCTCCCCTTCTTCTTTGGAGGTCTAAAGAAGTTCGGATCAAAGAGTCTTACTACATCCAAAGGAGGGGTCCACCTGCATCCAAAGAGAGAGGAAAACCAATTCCAAACAAAGGCTACAAAAGGACAGGATATAAATAAGTGTGTAATGGTCTCACCACAGGCCAAGCAGAGGCTACACACGTGGGGTGAAAGGCAATAGTTTGGCCTTCTTTTTTGCAGCATATCTAAGTTGTTGATTTTCTGGAGTACTACCTCCCAGCAAAAGGCCCTTATGTTTTGGGGTACAAGGTTACACCAAACCTCCTTTGTTGGGAAGGTTCCTGCCAAGTTAGATGAATGGAGAAGAGCATTGTAAAAAGAAGCACTAGTGAAAAACCCAGAAGGAGAGGCTGACCAAATTCTACTATCCAAGCAAGACTAATCAAGGAACAGAGTATTAAGAAAGGCAACCAGATCATCAACCATACCCATTTCGGACTCCCTCAACCCCCTCCTCAGACCCAAATACCAAGAGTTACCATTCAGATAAGACAGAGGAAATGTTTTTTTCTTTATTCAACAAAAGAGAGTAGATGGACAGGAAACTATCTTTGAGGGAGACATCCCCAAACCAGACATCTTCCCAGAATCGAACTTTATTCCCTGCACAAGCATCAAGTCTGATAAGCGGAAGAAATGAGGGTAAAACGCCATGGATAGCTTTCCAAGGAGATGACCGGGATGCCCTAGGGTCAAGACCAGTATCCCACCCGTTTTCTGCCACCCCGTGTATACTCACTATCACTTTGTGCCACAAGTTGTCCTGTTCCAGAGGTAGTCTCCATAACCACTTACCCAACAAGGCTGTATTCCTTAGCTTTATGTTTCCTATACCCAACCCTCCACTATCTCTACTTCTAGAGACCACCTCCCACTTCACCAAGTGGTCTTTCTTTGTATCCCCTGGTTCCCATAAGAAATCCCTCATTAATTTCTCCAGTTTAAAAGCCACACGTGGGGATCTTGAAGGTAGAAAGGAAGTAAATTGGTAGGTTTGCCAAAGTTGATTTTATTAGGGTAAGTTGAGGCATTCATGAACATAGATCTATACTCTGCCTCAGCTGAAGATGTAGCAACCATTAACTGCTTTTTGCTTCTCCAAGAAACAATATTTCCAGCTACCATAACACAATATCCTGATTGGATCTCCTGCCATCCACATTTCCTGCCCAATCAACATTTGTATATGCTTCTACCTTCATGTGTCCATGTTTAGCAAATAATATACCCTTCCCAGGGATTCCCTTAAGATAGCATAACACCCTTCCGCAACAACCATGTGTGTCTCTGGGAGCATGCATGAACTGGCTGATGACACTCACAGCATATGAAATGTCTGGACGAGTCATACATAGATAAAGAAGTTTCCCCAGTAACCTCTGAAACACTCCCTTGCCAGCTAAAAGTTCTCCATCATTAGCTATGAGTTTATGATTCACATCAATAGGGCTAGAGGCAGTTTAGCACCAAGTTTTCTAGTATCAGTAAGAAGATCTAGCACATACTTCCACTGAGAAGTTTTCGTTGTTGCATTTCCCACTGTTTTGCCAATCTAAGACCTTGAAGCCTTTATTTCTGCTCATAGAGAGTCTCTCATCCCAATCGGACCCGAGTAGAGGGCTAGCACTTTTCCTTCCTCATCTCTAATGAATCCCCCAATTCCTGAAGGACTTGGGTTGCCTAGAGAACTTCAATCAACATTCAATTTCACTCTAGCCTATAGAGGTGGGGACCAACTCTCCTAAACCATAGGAGAAGAGAAAGAGGAAGTAGCTATAGCACTCCAACCTCTGATTAAGTCATCATAGGACAAGTCCTTGAAAAGTTACAAAACTTTCAACCAATGTATAGCTTTGATGGCAATGCCCTCACCAAGTGCTTCCTTGTATTTTTCTTGCCCTTGGAAAATCCCGTTATTTCTCTCCACCCAAACCAACCAAATAATAGCTACTCTTGTTATTTTCCACATCACCCTACCCCTTTTCTTTGGTTAATTGAAAAAACTAGGGTCAAAAAGGCTTAGCACACACAAGGAGGATTCCACATGCAACCAAAGAGAGAAGAGAACCAGTCCCATAAATAAGAAACAAAAGGACAGGATATTAGTAGATGAGTCACCAACTCACCGTGTCACCACTCTTGAAGCAAAGGCTATAGACATTAGGGGATAGGCACTGGTCTTGGCCCTTTTCTTTGAAATATGTCCATAGTATTGATCTTTTGGAGAACCAGTTCCCAGCAAAAATCCCTAACCTTTATTGGGACAAAAGTAGACCACACTTCTTTAATAGGAAAAACAACAAGAACAAAAGTAGACTAACTAAAGCATTAAAGAATGAGGACCAAGAGAAAAACCCTAAGGAGGACTCCGACCAACTTCTACTAACCAGACAAGACTGATCTAGGAAAAGCAAAGATAACAAAGAAAACATCTTGTCTACACAAATCGCTTCTAAATCCCTCAAACCTCTCCTTAGGCCCAAATCCCAAGATCCTTTAGACCCGCATAAGGAGGAAATAACCTTGAATTTATTTAAAGAAAGGGAATACAAAACGGGGAACCTATCCTTTATGGGAGTGTTCCCAATCCAAAAATCCTCCCATAACAGAATTTTGTTACCTAAGCACGCATCATACCTAATGAACGATTGAATGGCAGGCAAGATTCCAACAATCGCTTTCCAAGGAGAAAAAATGAAAAGCCCTTAGGTCAATACCAGCATCCCATCCACAACCAATGGCTACCAAACAATGTATGCTCTCTACAACCAAGTGCCGCAAACTATCAAGCACTAAGGGAAACTTCCACAACCACTTTCTAAGCAATGCTAAGCTTCTTAACCTAATATTACCAATGGCTAATCCCCTTGTTCCCACTTACTAGAAACTACTTCCTACTTTAGTCGATGGTCCTTTTTTGAGTCACCCAATTCCCATAGGAAATCTCTCATTTTGTGGATGCATCCAGAAAACTATATGACAAGAGAAAACAAAAGACAAATTTTTATATAGTGATAGAAGGGCAGTGATAATAATGATATATAGAGCTAAGCATTGGTCAATCAAGAAACAACACATCTAAAATTTGAGTTTGGCACAGAGTTTTGAATGTTGAGATGGATGAATGGAAATGCTAGAAAAGATAGAATTACACTTGAACATATTCATAGAAATCCAGTAATTACAATACGTGACAAAATGAAGGAAAGTAGACCAAGATGGTTTGGTCATTACATAGAAGACCATCTACAAAACTAGTAAAAGTAATCTATTGAAAGTTGAAGGATCTAGAAGAGCTAAGGGAAGGACAAAAAGAACAGCAATTGAAGTAGTTAGAAATGATATGAGAGCCCATAATTTAACAATGGATGTGAAACTAAATAGAGCAGAACGGCAGAACAAGATTCATAGAACCAATCCCATATAGTTTGGACAAGGCTTTCTTCAGTTGAGCAATTAACATTCAGCCCTTCAAACCCTGGCGAAGCCTAACTTTCAGCTATTAAAGTCACTTCTGTTATGCCATTTCATCACCTAAGTGTTTTCCTATGAAATTCTACAAGTAGGAAACTTGAATTCCCAAGGAGAAAATTACATATTTGTCAAAGTTTCTTCTTGATGAAAACTTGTGAAATAGAATATCTCCCTACATTTCTTACCTTGATAAAAGCACAAGGAAGTGGCGCTCCAACTCGACCAACAGATGTATCATCGTACTCAGAGAATGTCCCACCAGCACAAGTCTCAGTTAGCCCATACCCTTGCCCAATTGGAGCACTGAAAATGAAAACATTCTTTGATTAAACTGTAGCAGAAAGATCACAACCATAACATCATTTGAGAATCAAATTGTAGATTCCACAACACAATTTAGCTCAAAAAAACATGTAAGAAAGAATAACTTAAGCATTGAATGTAATTGGAATTCTGATCTGCATCAAATGTATCTCACAAATGGAGATATAGTAAAATCAAGAGGCGTCCATTTATAACTCCTTTCTATTAAATGTTTTTGTCATTTGATCATCAATCTACAATGTTTTGGAATTTGATATTCTACCTGATCTTATACAACTTATTTGTCTTGAATTCTCATCCAAAATGCTCTCTCAAATAAAATACCAGCTCAAATCAATATAAAAATGAAAATGCAAACTTTCTTTCTTCATAAGGAACAGTGAAACTCTTTTAGGGAATACTAACCCGAGACATATATTAATGAACCTTTGTGTATCAGGAGAAAGAGGAGCCCCTCCAGAAAGAAGAAAACGAACACGACCTCCTAGAATTGCCCGAACCTTTCTAAATACAAGAAAGTCCCATAGAAGCTTCTCTAGTCCCCATGCTCCAAACCAACTACCATTTACTGCAGACAACCTACGCCCATATGAAAAATCAAAGAGTTTCTTGGACAGTCCACCCTTTCCATCTACCTGACACACTAAAAAAAATCAGCAAACATGCAATTACCCTTGTTCTCAAAAACCAAATTAGCCAAGAAAAAGGAAACAAAAAGAAGAGGACAAAAAGTAAAGAGAAACACATGCATGTCACAATATTCACAAACCTTCTTTCGCACTCCATCTCGAACACGATCAAGGATGGCAGGCACTGCAGTCATCAGTGTTGGCCCCAACACAGATGCATCTCCTTTTGTACCTTTTTTTACCTTGTTTGATGTATCAGTAAGAGTCAATGGAGATCCATATCCTATGGCACTTCCAACAGCTGCAAGTAAATTCTAGAATACAAAAACTGATACTGATTCAGACAAAAACCTTGAGTGTAAATTGGTTCAATTTTTAAACTACTTTAGCTGCAAAATCAAATTAGCTCATAATGTATACCTCAGCTGCTAATTCAAGAATATGGGCCAAAGGAAGGTAGGCCAAATAAATGTCCTTGTTTCCAAGACCGGGAACAATCGTCATGACAGCAGAAACTGTAGCTAGGACATTCCGGTGTGTCATCATTACTCCCTATAGTTATAAAATCTGAATGTAAGATAACCTCCAACCCAGCATTAAGATTTAAATCACTTTTGCATGTTACAACTTAGAAACAACAATGAATCAGTATACTAGAGAATTTTGGGTAAATTAATGAAAGAAATAAAATATGTAATATATAGTCATTTGCAGTCAAACAGACTCACCATAAAAACTATAGGAAATAGTTGCAAATTTCCACTGACAGGTTATACATGCAGAATCTATGTTTCTATAATATAGATCAGCATAAAAACAGTAAAGGTCAGAAAATAGTTTTCATTAACATTTTACGCCAGGAAGAGAAAATGGCATGGTGCATAAGAGCACTTCGTGGTAGATTTAAACAGACAAGCTAAAGCATTGGCAGTAATTTAGTATGAGCCTGTATAAAATAGTTAGGTGGAAAAGGCTCAGGTTCTTGTGTATGCAGAGATTTTTTTCATGTGGCATTTGATGTAGGACAAAAGAGGTTATGCATATATTGTTACCACATCCACCTTTACTGACCTACACAATTCTTCAAGACCCAAGCATAGAGACAATTGAAACTTAATCCCTTAATTTATTTAGAATTTGCATGTGCATTTGTTTACTCATTGAACTGAATTGTGGAACTAAAACACTTCAAGGGCATAAACAACACCAATCAAGGTAATCTGATAAGATTGTCAGAAATTGATACTTTGTTTTTCTTTTGCTTGGTGCTTCAGATTTGGGCCTTTTTTACATTCTGGATCTAGTGCACACACATCCTTATCTAACATGATCCTAGGTATGGTACGATGGATCCCTCTTTTCGCAGCCTTTGTATTCTTTTTATTTCCACATTATAAATAAAATCACTTGTTATCTATTTAAAAAAAAAAAAAAACAAAACTTCTCAACAAGGAGCTTTGTTCTTGTTATTGATGAATCTAATATGATCTGCATTCCATAATTTCATCTCCCACACTGCAGTGAGTCATTAATTACTTCTTCAACATTGTTTTGTTCCAAATTATTAAATTATTATCCAGTCATCATATACCTTGTATTAAAAGGAAAATTCTATAAATTGATCAAAAAGGAAAATTGCCATCAATGAACAACATGTCCAAAAATGAGTTGCAGAAATGCGTGTTCTGAGATGGATGAGTGGAAAAACCAGTGGAGAGATAAAACACCTTGTCTTCAAAAGAGAATTTGTACATTTGCACTTCTCTTTGTTTTTTATGATAACTAATAAGTTCCGAAGTTATTGATCAAAAAAATGAGTGGAAAAACTAGAAAGAATAGGGTCAGAAAATGAAGTCATTTAAAGGAACCTAGGATTAACTCCAATAGGTGATAAAATGCAAGGTTTAAAATGTCAATGTTGATGGAAATATCAATGATCCGAATATAAGAAACATGTCGGAAATGTCAGAAATATCAGGCGCCTAGGCATGTAGGCGCTTTTTGGGGTTTGCCTCACCCAAATGCCATATGGTCTCAAGCGATTTTTTTTATTTTTTTGGAACAAAAACAGGGCTCCGTCCCTTCTTAGCTCCTCCTCTTCTCTTCGTCTTCTACTTCTAGAACAAAAAAACAGGGGCTCTGCCCCTTCTTTTTCTTTTTTGAGCAAAAATATGGGCTCCGCCCCTCCTTTTTCCTTTTTTTTGGAACAAAAACAGGGGCTCTGCCCCTTCTTTCCTCCTCTTCTCTTCGTCTTCTACTTCTGGAACAAAAAACAGGGTCTCTACCCCTTCTTTTTCTTTTTTTGAGCAAAAACAGGGGCTTCACCCCTCCTTTTTCTTTTTTTTTTGGAACAAAAAATAGGAGCTCCACCCCTTCTTTTTTTGAACAACAACAGGGTCTCCGCCCTTCTTTCGTCCTCCTCTCCTCCTCTGGAACAAAAAACACAGGTCCATTTCTTTTTCTAGAAGAAAGATAGGGGCTCCACCCTTCTGTTATTTCTATTTCAACAACAAAAGTAGGGGTTCCACCCCTTTTTATTTTATTTCTTTTTAAACATTAAGTGAGGCCTAGGCGCCCGCCTAGGCAACAAGGCAACTAAGCACTCCCCTGTCGCTTAGGTTCGCCTTGGTGCCTTGAAAACTATAGACACACCTTTTTAAATTATTATCTTGTTCCAAATCATTAAACAAAGCTAAGAAACTAAGGTTATAGACCAAAGAATACACTATGAAGTTTCCCTATAAACATTAAGATTTAGACTTCATGATAGAATGAGTTAAAGCAAAATTTAAATTCATAAAAAATGTAAATGGTTGTAATAGATTAACCAAATAATCTATTACACAAACAAAAACTAATATTTGACTTCATGTTTGAAATGAATATTGAGCTAGTTCAAAGTGGTAATCATGCAAGTTTGGTGGACAATAACTTGTTACTTCACATACCTACAATATTTGTTACCTACTTATGTTATAATACTATCTCGAGTACTCCACATAGTACTAGTAGTGTTCACTGGGGAACATGTCAATTCTAATAGAATTTCATGTTGCTACCCATGAAAGTAGAAATGGAAATATGTCATGGAAACTATCTCTTGTACTCCACATAGTGTTGGTAGTCTTCATTGGGGAAATGTCGATTCTAGTAAAATTTCGTGTCGCTACCCATGGAAATGGAAATATGTCATGGAAATATTAGGGAAATTAGGGACATTTTAAACCATGATTACAACCATATACATTTTCTGGAGTTCAAATTTTGCTTTAACTCATTCTATCATAAAGCTCTGAATGGTTTACAGGGCAACTTTAGAACATATTCTTTTGTCTATAACCTTAGTTTCTTAGCTTTGTTTAGTGATTTGGAACAAGATAATAGTTTAAAAAGGTGTGCCTATGCTTCTTTTATCATTCTATATTTTGCATATTTTACAATGTTTCCACCATGTCTATAATTTTTACAATATTTCCCTATGATATTTCCAAAATTTCCAACATGTTTCTTATACTCGGATGACCGACATTTCCACCAACATCGACATTTTCAACCTTGGGTGGCAAGAATAGTGTTGAAGAACATATATCATGCATCACTAATCTGATGACTGACCCCTACCCCAAAGAGCCATATATATCTAATAATATGAATAATTACAGAAAAGCCCTTGGAGGGCTAAAAGAATAAAAAAGAAAAGAGAAATACAAAAGAGCCCTTAGAGGGGATGAAATAGAAATTCAAAGAATAAGAAAAGAACAAGACTACAAAACTACTTAATGTATTGTAGTACTATAGTCCCTCAGTCACTTGATATGCATGTGGCTGGTTCTTCTTCTGAACACCCTTAGATGGCCTAACGGACAGTTCGGAATGATGTGACCATGCTATTTACAATAGGTGCAAACATTCCTCTTCTTGCAATGGGAAGCAATGTGTACAAATCCCTTGCATTCGTAACACTAAGTTTTTGAGAAGTCTTTATCACCAAATCTCTTACTCCCTTGAACAACAAAGGCAATGTCAACCCCAGAATCCATTGATTTCCCATCAATACTTGCAGCAGTAAGGAGTCCAGTCTCTTCCCTCAAAAGTTTACCCATCACTGAATCCAAATCTAGAAGAGTTCCTCTACTCAGTATATTAGACCTGATTATTTCATATTCAGGTCTCAATCTCATAAGAAAATGATTCACCTTCCTCTTCTCAAAGTGCTGCTGGAGATACTTGACACATTCTGCAGAGTCTAAAGGCTTTATATGAACAAGTTCATATTATGGCCACAAGTCAAGGAAACCAGCATAATATTCTTGAATCTTCCTATCTCTCTGGTAATAAGCAAAAAACTTAGACTCAATCTGATATTGTCTTCATATATTGGATTGATGATATGCATTCTCCAAGTACACATATATCTCATAGGCAGTATGCATTCTTCTCATGGGTACTGCAATATGAGATACCACCAAACTGAGTATCCAGGAGACTAATTTTCCATTATCCAGCTTCCATTGTGAATAAGCCTTGGCATCTGTCTCATCTAGCTTAGTGACCTTTCCATTCAAATATCCCACAAACCTTTTCCCTCAACAAAGAAATCAAAATGCAACTTCCACATGCTGTAGTTAGTTCCATCAAACTTTACAGGAATAATATCAGCCATCTCAGCCATTCCAGATTACAACCACAGTTCAAAAAAGGGTTCACAATACTGAAATCAATGCTAAAGAGTAGAAGAATTGGTGATTAACTACCCAACTAAAATCAGATATAGTTCAAATATAATACTGAAGTAATATTTCACAAAACAGAATGTGATTAAACTGCAAAAATTTTAATACAGAAGATTTAAATTGATGACAGTCCAAAAAAGGAATGTTTTAGGACTGTTAAACACAAGGTGGGATCAAAACCCTAGCAAAAATGACCCAATATTCAAAACAAATTAGACCAACAGTAATAGAAGCCCATGGTGAGCAATGGTATCCCAGGAACCGAGAGTAGGATTAACAGGCACAGAGCAAGGGTTAGTAGCCAAAATCATATTGACAGGGGTGCTTGATTGCAGTGATGGGAGAGACTCAGACGTCTCAGGATGGACCAAAGACTTTTCTTGTTCATCAGCTTTGGGCCTGCAAGTTGGTGCTACTGCTGGGGAGCATTCCTTAATAGATTTAACACTTTGTCTAGTCCCAAGACTCTGTCACTTGTCCCCTTCCAATGTCCCTTCACTCAACCTTAGATGATTCTCCACCAATCCCTTTCAAACACCCTATCTAACAGAAGCAATTTGTTCTGGTATCACCTCATTTGAATTTTGGTTTCCCATCCCAACAACCTCATCATACTCAGCCTGGTTTTAGCCACTACCAGTTGCTGCCACATTCGAAGACTGGGATTTCATATCGATGCCTTCTTCCTTGAACAACAAAATAGTATTGAAATCATCCTCCGAATTCTCTTCCACTATTTTTCTTTGGTCTATGTTGCCTGCCAATGATCCGATCTCTGAATCAGAGACACTTTCATCGTTCTCAAACTGTTCACAGTCCATCCATCCTATCCACCACTTCAATATCCTATGATCTGTTCCTAACATACCTGGGGTTCAGCTGATCAGACGCTGCTGCTTCAAAGGAGTTAGAAGAAGTCACCTCTAACCTGGGATTCCACTAGAGAGACGATTTTAGGTGAGAGGAAGACTGCACATAAATAGCCCCATCGAGACAGGACGAAGAGAGACAGTAATTGCCATCCTGTGTCAAATTTAGGTCACGACGACTCACATGACCACTTAAAAGAGCAATAGCCTCCAATAACAACCAGTTCACTAGAGCTTCCAACCGAGTCACCCTCTCTGCTTGAAACAATTCCCATTGAGTCTGATTTACTTGGGCCCACAAACTTTTTCTCTTCCAACTTAATATGGGTTGGACCCCCAATCAGATCTGAAACGGTCGTTTTAAGAATCCCAACATAAGACTGCGTGCCTGCCTTTTCTAAGTTCATTTCAAAATTATTTGAATTCTTTTCTTTTCCAGACCCACCTTAACCTGGCTCCCGAGCTTCAATTGTTCCTTTTCCCCAAAAAAAAATCACTTACATTAATTCTTATTCCCTTCCTTTTGTGCCACGTGTACACCCACCTGCCACACCAGCATCTTCTTCAACCTCCAGCCCTACACTCCAAAAAGACGCTTCAACTTCTATTACTACCCAGACCTTGCACCATCCACCGACCAGAATGCCAACCGACCTGGGAACGTTCTCAGTCTTCACCCTGGCCATCCAGATCAACAGAAAACCTCCCAAATCTTTTACGATCTTGTCAATGTGAAGTCTTCTTCCAATGAGTGAACAGCCAACCAGCTTCAATTCGAAAGAAAGCTCCATCAGTAAACTCCTTACTATTGCAGGAGTAAGACCAATTTTCAATTAAAACCAACCCCAAGTCTGTCTCAACTGTTCTAAACTTAACCAGCCTCTCCCCAATGTCCAAAGTCGCACTACTGTCATCAAAAGGAAACACAGATATATCAGATGCCACCTTAGTTTTCTCTTTATAACTCCCACTATTACTTTCCAGTCCAACACATGCTTTTCTGCCTTAACAATCAGTCTTCTCTACCAAGCACCTCTACTATCAGCTTCCATGAACAACCTCCAGGCTCTACTGCAACTAGCAACCAGATCAATTTGCTAGGCATCTTCCTTTGAAATGTCCCCAGGCATTGTCATTTCCTAGAGAGAAGTGCCTTTAGGAAGAGTTTCAAGAGGGGCCCCAGAAGTTGTAGTGTCTATAGGTAAACTTTCTTTCAACAACAAGAAGGTTTGGAGCTTCTGTGCAATCAGCCTCCAACCTGATCCTTTCTGTTGTTGCCGAAGTACTCTGTGGCCTCTACATACCAACCTTTTTGGTTACACTTCAAAACCACCTGATACCTCCTTCTTGAGAGTTCCAAGGAGCTCTTCTAACCATCACTCTTGACAGAGAAAAGTGCCCCATCAACAAAGCCTTTCATCCATAGTAATACTTCTCCAATTAAGAAGATAGAAGCCTTCCCTTCTTCTTGGACCTTCAACACCAGTTGGTTTCAACTTTTTCCTTCTTCCAGAATGAACTTCTTTGCTTTGAACACCAACTCACACCTCCATCTTCTCACCTAAACAAAGGACTCCTCTCTTTTGTTGCATTAAAGAAAAAAAAAAAAAGGTTAAAGAAAATTGGCTCACTTGCTTGTTTTGGAAAATCTTCCTGTTTATTTCCTGCCAAATACCCCAAGAACACATTATCAGGCATTATGTTCATACCATCTTGCCTTTCTTGCTTAAACCATCCACCCTCCACCCCTTCAAGAAGTCCACCACTGAAGCTGGTCTTTACTCTCTTACTGTATAAACGGCCAACATCCTACCACATAACCATTCAATTTTTTTGGCAAGTGTAATCAAGTCTTTCCTCCAAAAATTGGAAAAGATAGACTTATCTATTTGACCATTTGGGGAGAGAGAGAGAGAGTCCATAAAAGAAAGTGAAAGATTAGGTGAGAAAAATGGTAGATATTAAGAAAGAAATTGCAATAAATAAGTCTATAAAACACATAAATATATAAAGTCCAAGCAACTGCATTTAAGCAAAGTGCTTTGCCATTTCCAAGAAACTATTACTTTGAACATAAAGAGGTTCCAAGTTGCCTTTGATCACAATCCTGATTTATTGAGAGGATGAATCACTAGCAACCACTCTAAAATCACTAAATCATGGAATTCATTTAAAATGTACCCCCACCCCTGGGAGGTTCTGGGCACTAATTATGGATTAAAGAAGTTGGCAAAATCTGACAAACTAAGATACATATATTCAAATCAGAGGCATCATCATGATGTTTGGATGATATGGACACAAGTCTGATATTTACATGACCTCTTCTATACGCAAAAATGTGCCACTTATAGAAGATATAAATGCATACCTTAATCAGAATAAAATCAAAAAATTACAACAGTAGAAATTAGATACATCAACCAACCTTAGGCAATCCAGTACTCCCACTTGTATACATTATAACTGCAATGTCAGATGAAACAGGCATATATGCACCAACAGGGTTTTCTCGGCCAAGTCCCTGCACCTTTTGAAAAGAAGAAACTACCCAATTAGTGCTCCTCTCAATCAATGAAGCTTCAGATGGGACCCCATCATCTTCTATGTATATTACACGTTTCACTGTGTCAAGTCGTCCACTTAAGTCTACAAGTTTTTTCAGTTCTTTACGTCCACAAATCACAGTTGTAGCCTCTGTCTGGGAACCAAAGGAAGCAAATAATTAGATAAAGCATCCGAGATAATAAAAGCATAGAAGTTGAAGAGAGTAAGGTTGATTTTGCTTCCTATATGATTGTTTGATATGTACACGTAAAATTAACACAGATAAGAGGATCAAATATCAATGATTCTGCTAACAAATAGACTTTAAATCAGTTTATTACCAAGGTTCAAAATTTCATCACATATCGGGGTGTACGACTATCGAGTGTATCTTATCATATCAGCCCCGCTCTGATACACTAAATACGAAGTATTTTGTGTTTTTAATATTGTCAAGGGGTAGGCCTTGCTAAGACTGATTCCCTGTAAAATTTTGAAAAGATATAAAAAAAATAGGGAGCATGTGAGTCAAACCCCCCATATCAGTGTATCAATACTTTGAACCATGTTCATTACAGTGAATTAAATTGTTTCCATAAGTTAATAACAATAATCTGGACAACCTTTTCAAGTGGTATCAAAACTAGAAATTTGGTCATGATATTTAGATAAGATTCACATGTTAGGCGGGAATGACATTAAACATATAACTAATCCTCCTGAGATTGGATTAAAGTATCTAAGGTTGATTGTTCTCAATAAAGAAAAACATCAATGCTTTTAAGGGGAAAATGGCCATACTTAAAAGTCACTAAACAATAATTAGGCTGTGTTTGGTTGCAGTGCAATTTTATTTGCACTAGTACAAATTCATGGGAGTGCAAATGTAAAAAATGCAAATTCTTGTTTAAGTTTGTCTTGGATTTTACTTTATTCTGCTTCATGTCTTAATTTACTTCATTTGTATCGTAATCAAACAAAATAAGCTAATATTTGAAACAAAAATAGGTCAGAATTTACACTCAAATCATTTGCACAGCCATGGTTTTTGAACCAGTGCAAATTTATTTGCATTGCAACCAAACACAGCCTTAGGAACAAACAAATCTGCATTCAGGAGAACTGGTATATCTTGGTAGAGAACTAATTTTTTGCAAAACCCATCTCCCCTAGGCTTGAAAACATGAAAACATCCCTTTAGGTTTAGGCTAACCATGGATTTCAATCTTTAGCATTATTGGAAAAGTTTCAAATCAAAAACAATCATGACAAACAATCTGCAGAACAAGAAAATACAATGTATCTAAGTGATGCAACATACATCTACGCTCTGTGGAAAGACCAACCAAAATAACATTCCCACTTTATAGGAAAGAGTGAATCTTCAGAGAACAAGGCAAGATTCTGGAAATCTCTGGCAGAGGATTCTTGCCACCCTCTCACCCTTTATCATAGGTTTCCTTCACTGTATCTCCATTATTCATGATCTTCCCACTTCTTTTGCTTCCATGGGCATATCCAAAAGTCCTTTTGGAACTTTGTTTTTTATAAAGAGTTTAAGGATTCTGAGTTATAGAGGTCTAATTGTGTGCTCCATCCCCTGCTGACAATAAGAAATACACATAGGTCCAAGAAGAGCAAGGAGCTACTAACAAGGTGTGATATGGGATAATATTGACTTGTCCACTTGCTGTATGGGACTATGAGGTGACAGTCCAAGAAAAGGAAAGTTATTGGTCCAGGTCCTCCAGGAAGGGCATTTTAATTGATTTTGTGGTAGAAAATACAGTGTTGAGTATGGGGAACTTATTAGAAAATTAGGATAGAGAATGGAAGAACAAATATAGACTACGGATAGAGAACTAGAACTGTGGTGTCTAGAGTGAACCTAGTTTCTTGAGAGGCCCATCTTTCTCTGCCCCAGCTAGGTAGATGATTGTACTCGTCTTACAATTAACTAAAGAATCTCTGTATTGATAAAGAGTTAGTTTGAAATAATGTGAAAATGGGACCCAGATCATGACTAACTCAAAATTCATCTGATGATAAGAGACCTTGAACTTTTCTTTTTAAAACTTGTTGGACCGTAATAGTTTTTTCCTATTTGTATGTCATAGTTGAAACTAGCTTTTAAGATGATAATTTTGGAGCCATATCTTGCATCTTAGTTATATACCTTATCAAATAAAAATGAATTGACATTACGTAAATAGTACAGGATGGTGTGCACAAATATCAAAATAATGTCCAATTTATAGAGTGCGAAGAGTAAGATAGGTAAAAAAATCGAACCTCATTTAATGAGTGACAAAGAGCCTCCTCCCCTAGAGATGAATATATGGTGACAACAGTGATATTGCACCTGAAGAATCCCTGGTCCATGAAAACCACAGTACCATCTTAAAAAATTGTGCATAGATTATCAGCTAATAAAGAATTGCTATATTGAAATCATTTTAACAATTGAAAGGTTTAAGAGGCACCATAACCTATGCCTTTAAGGAATTCAAGGCCACCATAAAGAAGCAAAACAAAACATTCTCTAGAATATAAGAAGTATTCTAAATTCAGTGAATTAGCAGAAGATTGTAAGGAAAAAATTAGATATATAAAAGTCACTAATCAATAGTATGCAACAGAAGACTTATCAAAAAAAGAAATATGCAACAGAAGCATAAAATATCTAAATTTTATCTGCATGTATGATATTAGCACCTGTAGTGCAATAAACCATTCTGCACATGTATCAGAAAAGATTGCAGCTCGCTCTCCTCTTCCATGCCCTAATTGCAATAAACCAGAAGCAAAGTTGCAAACAGCTTCAAAAGCTTCACCATAGCTAAGCCACTCATAGCTTCCTAAATGAAGCTTCTCAAATGATCTGCCATCTTCAGATACTTCTGTCTCCCTTGAAATTAACCTCCGAGTTCCAAGTAAGCGCCTGTCACTGTGCTGCTTGCATGACTGTTCAAACAAATCCGCAATTGTTGAGATGCCCTCCCATGCTGTTTCGACAGGGTGAGTAAATCGATAGTTTCGGATTGCATATCCAGGTTCCCCACCAACATCAACAGGTAATCCCCTCTTCTTTCCACTCTTTGTATTCCAAAGAAAAAGAGAAGCTACAAGTGGAACAAGGATTCCAAAAATATAGAGACCCATTTTTTCACTATGCTTATAATTCCCAGGTATAGCAGAACCTACCAACCGCACTCTTTAGGACTGAAATGATAGCAAGTCATTTCCATGCAAAACTTCCAAATAGAATCTGCAAGAGAAACCACAGGCTTATCAAAAGGAAAAAGAACTACTGTGTAATGAATAGAATCAAATCAAAGAAGTTGTAGTGAAAAACCCTTGTTTATGTATCCTAACTAGCTGTTGAACCATAATTGATCTTCTAGCAACCATTTTCAACATGAATCATTTTGATTCTTGATGAACGACAATACAAAATTAAATGAGATATAAGAAATTCAGTTTCAATGTCCAAACTAGCCAGCACTAGGATAGTATTACCTGGTCAATTTGGCCATTCATAGTGGATTCAACCAAGTCATTATCACATGTACATGATGGTCTCAGTAGTACACCCTAGTAGCTTGTATCAGCATTTCATACACTAAGATGAGAAATTTGATACTATAATTGATACTGGTTCAAAATGTGTAGCACTAGCACCAATGCAATATAGAATTAGTATATGGCCTGACTAAGCAACAGAGAATATGTCCCTTGATAGGAAAAGGATTTTTGTGGCTAGCCCCATATAGTTGGGATAAGGCTCTGTTGATTTGAATAGAGCTAATAGTCGTGATGAGCAAGGGGAGAAACAAGGTTTAAAATATCAACACACATGATACGCAAGGTTGCATATTGTGTGTATTCAAGTAGTGATACTTTTCTTTTTTTTTTTTTTTTTTACATATCGATACTTTAAACCTTGGGGAGAATGACACTTTCCATGAAAACGAATGCTCTACAAACAAAATTAGAGAAAAATAATGATGCACCTACCTAACTAATAAACTTAACACAATGAATCATAACCACTTGAACCAACAATAATAGAAATATCTATTTAATAATGCACTTAACCAAATGATCCTTATTGGTAAACTATTAATGAAATTAGAGAACTACCTTAAACATAATGAACCATATCACATGAGACAATAAGAGGAATTATCTATTCAATGAAATTAGATAACCAAATGGTGCCAAGTGACCAAGTCCATCAGAAGAAAATGCACAGATGACCCATTGTTATTTGTTAGCTCATTTTATTGAACAGAATAAAAATCAGAATCAGCATATATCAATCTTCAAAAAATTGGCGTGCATATGCATCATTTTAGATACTCCAACATGCATCACTTTATCATGCTATATTAGTTTTTCGCAGAGCAATCCTAACAATGCAAGGACTATCTGAAAGAAACAAGTCAAATAACGACCAAAACCTCAGAACAGCGGCAATAGCCTAAGCATATAGCCGAGCAAGAACCAAATGAACAATACATTGACAGCCGGAAACGCCATGAAACGTGTTAAAACTATTGACAACCACAAGGCATGAATCAACACATGAATATATCCCACTGTGTAGTGTGTCAGTCAAAGTACCATCTCCACCACTAAATTGAATACAGAAGCTTGAAACTTGAAATACTTCTAAAGCTCATTACTACAACGCCTAGAAATGGAATGAAACAAGAACTTAAATGAATGTACAGGAACATCAATACTGCAGGAAAAAAATCAAAATTGAAGCTTTGACGAAGAACAGCATATTAGTGAGTAATATAAATATAAATCAAATAAACAAGAAAAAACCGAACCCACCAAAATCCAGCACTAAACAAGAAGAAAACCCTAACAATTACCTTCAAAGTACAGATCCTGGGATCAGAAAGCAGAGTTATGCAACCAATCCAATTCAAAAGACCTGCATTACCATTCAGAGAGTAGATAGAATACTCTGGGAATTTTTTTTTTTTTTTTGTATTTTCTATCAATGAGAGCGGAACGTCTATGAAAACCCTTAGATCCAATCATGCTGCTTTTATACTTGTAAATAAAGATGTACTGAATGAGGCGGAGACATCGCGAGTGTCGGAGGTTGGAGTTTGAGATTTGATAATCCCTACGAGTTTGATTTTCTTTGGGTTTGTTTTAGTGAAAATGTATGATGCGGAAAAGAAATGATATGGAAAAAGTATCAACCAATCAAATCCACCCATGAATTTTGATATATACACATGTAGTCCGCATGGTGATCAATCAGGGCGACTCACGTATTAATTGTGGATGATGTGATGTGTGTCTTTAGGTCAGCCCTAATCGTGAATCGCCCTGATTGGTTTAAGTACCTGGCCCACTAATTGAATGGTTTGGATTGTTTGAGAAGTACGGTCAAGATATTAATCAATTACAAGTGAACACGTCAGTATTATTTATATCGGATTAGCATTAATGACTTCGGACGGTTCCAACTACCGCTCAACCAAGCAAGCGATGTACTCCATGTGCTGCAGTGGCATGTTGGGACAGTTGGAAGCATTGCTGTTGCAAACTTGCAGTGATAATATATTGGGACAGTGTTGAGAGCATTTTGTTAGTAACAGATCCCTACACACACTTTATATGGCTAGTAACTGCTGGTCCCAATAGCCATTGTAATCATACATAATAAACATCACCCTTGCATTTTATATGGCTAGGAATTCGGATAATTAGATTTATCTCTGTAGTTCTAAAGGATTCGGGATCTCTTACCCGAGACCGGATTTGCTCCTTATATGAAGTGTTTTACATGCACATCTTACCATGTATTAAGAATATCTTTCATATTTATAACTTATCATTCACGGGAGATGTTTCAAATGCATGATGGATGTACATGTGAGGCACCCAACTGTGAGGAGCAGACCTCGTTCTCTCTTATCCACAAGTATTCTATCTACACCTACCCACTAAAAATTAAACCCGTGCATTGGGAATATCACTACATGCATAATAACATATGCATAACATGTAAGAACAAGACAAGTGTGACTGTCATGTCATGTGGATAGAGTTCTTGTGGTAAGAAATCCAAAGCGTGTGTAGTGGCACAGGAGCACTTCATGGGGAGCCAATGCAAATTCTATGGTCAGAAGATATTCCTATGTACACATTTCATGGCTCTTGGGACCCGTTGTTGGAATCGGGATTTAGATTTTGCAAATGTCCTCACAACACTTCATATCTATGAATTGAAAACATCTTCTCGTGAATGAAAATATACAGGTAGAAGAAGATGTTCTCACTGCAAAGCTGCAAATGTTATGAGAACGATGTGAAACAAACTTTGTGAAGATCAAATCTGGATTCGCTTTGTTGGGACCTTGAATTGAGACTAGATCCGGACTCTCACATCACTCCTTTAGAGTTGAGATAAAAGTGGGACAATTTGTGGAAAGTTTCTCATTTTTAAACTCCTTTAGAGTTTAGATACAGACAAATCACTGTAAGTAAAATGACAAAATTCATATTGTGAAGTAGGAAGATTATCCATATCCTTTCACAACTATTCCTGTCCATCAAAATAAGGCAAAAACAAAAAGGAAAAAAAAAAAGCTTATTAATATATTCATATTGGTTTTTATCCATTTTCATTGGAGTAGGCCCCTTCTCAACCAACACTCAAACCACAACAAGGGAAGGGGAGAACACAACAACAACTTTGTTAATAAATCAAATGTTTTTATCTATCAAATTTACTTTTTTAGACATAAATATGATAGAATTACAAAAAAAAAACTAAGAAAACATTACACATTATTTTCTCAATATAATCGGTTCAAAACAAACAAGAACCAGAATTGGTCTGATTATTAATTAGGATAAGATCACAAAAATATAATCAGTTTAGTCAGTTCAATTTAGGCTGGGTAGAACAGATCCGTTGGCAGCCCTAGGTAAATAGGCTACACAACAGGGACTGTCCTTCCAAACCCAAAATCCCCAAGCTAGTGAAGGTAGGACTTGATCTTATGTCTCTCCTAGCTATAACTAGTTTTTTTTTTTTTTTTTTTTGTCTCACTTCCTTTTTTAAAGCTGGCTGGCACCTTCCCCCCTTGTAACAAGGTTATGTAGAACTAAAGCTTTACCACAATGAAATGAAAATATGGGAAATTGATGGGGTTCTTTTGGATAGTTTACAATTTTACATGAATCTACTTAGGCCATGTTTCGGAGTGCTTATTCGAAATAAGTGTTTATTTGAGTCAAGACCACACCATTAAGCATTTATTGATGTTTGAGAAATAAGCCCAAAATAAGGGCATATTTTTTAAGACCAAATTTCCAGTTTTATTCTTAAGTGCTTATACAATAAGCACTTATTCAATTTTTTTCTTCCAAAATTATCCCTGGTTGAATTTTAAAATACCATTTATAAAACTATCCCTAGAATTTTATAAAAGTACTTACATAAAAGTTCTTTCTTAAAAGTACTTCTCTAAAGTGCTTTTTATAAAAATACTTTCGCAAAAGTGCTTTTATAAAAGTATGTTCATAAAAGTGCTTTTGTAAAGTGCCTTTATAAAAGTACTTTCGTAAAAGTGTTTTATTAAAGTACTTTCATATAAGTACTGTAAAAGTACTTTCATAAAAAGTACTTATGTAAAAGTGCTTTTATTAAAGTGCTTTCATAAAAGTGCTTTCATAAAAGTGCTTTTACAAAATTGCTTTTGTAAAAATACTTTATAAAAATGCTTTTATAAAGGTGCTTTTACTAAAGTGCTTTCATAAAAGTACTTCCATAAAAAATGATTTCGTAAAATTTGAAAGAAATGAAGGACAAAATAGTTACAAATGCTTATTTAAGTGCTTATTGGAGAAAAAGACTACCAAACGCCCAAAATGAAATAAGTGCTTGTTTTTTAAAGGGTAAGGTAGTGTTTGAGAACACTTAAAAGCAAGCACTTCTTTTAAGACATGGGACCACACATTAAGTGGTTTTTAAGTACTTATGGGTGTTTGGTAAAAAAGTGAGGAAGAAATACTTTTTTTAAAGAAGTACTTCTTTGAAAAAGTGACTTCAAGTTGGCTTTTTTTAAGTACTTGAAGAAGTACTTCTCCAAAAAAATGGAACGAACTAGTCCCTGATGATTTTTTATAGTGCCTAAAATACCCCTACAAGGGTTATACCTCCTTCTCCATTCATTCAAACCTCAAACCCAGGTAGCAGCACACCAGTTGTAGGTCCACGGGCGACGATCAGCTGTGAGGAACAGTGGCTGGTGGACTTGTCGTTTGGCAAGTGGCCGGTGACGTGTGGCACCCAGATCTTATGTCTCGAAACACATTCTCTGAGTTTTGAGTGCTATTTTGATCCCTTTCAATTGCTACTTCCTCTTCTTCTGTTTCGGAAGACTGTTGGGTCTAAAGTGTCAGAGCAATCCGGGGAGAGAGAGGAATGCTATGTAGCCGGAAAATGTTTAGCCTTTTTATAAAGAAAGATTTGAGGAAGATATTGAAGCACAAGGAGAGTGATGCCGGAGAAAAAGGTAACTACTCTCTTCTTTCCCTTTTCTGTTAACTATAGATTTGCTTGAGTTACGGATGTGGGTATTTGATTTTGGAGTTTTTCAGTTGCTTTTCTATTGTCGGCATTTTGTTTTGTGGTTAGAGTTATGGGGTTGTCTGTCGATTAAGGGGTTTAGCTATCAATTCGGACGCATGGAAGAACAAGAACATTGCAGCTGGGGAGGTTTTGATTTCTGAATAGTGAGGTAGCTGGAAGATGTTCAGGTGAGTGAGAAAGTAATGGATAAAGAGATATGTGATCGACAGGGGGTCGTTGAGAATTCTTCGTCAAGTTAGACTGATCCAGCTCCTCAAACTGTAAGTGTGATAGCACCTGCAAAGGTGTCTCTGGAACTGGAGAAGCATACATGTGTCATCGATGCTAAATGTGGTGGAGAATTTAGTGGTGAAAGTTGGGATGGAGAGAAGGCTTGTAGGATCTGTCATTTGGGTTCTGTCTCAGATTGCCCATCAGAGGTTCCTTCCGATCTTATGACGCTTGGTTGCGGTTGCAAAGGCAAACTGGGCATTGCACATCGTCACTGTGCTGAGGCCTAGTTTAAGTTAAGAGGCAACAAGTATTTATTTTTTACTTGTTTTCTGAATATGGGTGTTTTATATCCACTTTGGATTCATTATTGCTCGATTCATATAGTTCTTGGACAATCATAGCGGCCATGAAATCAATTTTATGAATAAAAGGAAAAACTTTATTGACCTCAAGCAGACATTTTGATCATTAGATCCTAAATAAAATGTACTGAAGGTGTAGATTTTATAACTTATACCACTAATAACTACACAATTTGAAATGGTTCTTGGACATGCAAGAATAACATAGGTCCTCAAAAGTAAGCAGATTTGGAAAGCCGATCTTATCAAAATAGCTACACCACAATTAGATTTAGTCATATAGATGTTGATACCTTGTCTCCATTATATAGTGGGCAAGAGGATTGGGTTCCATTGTGTAGATGGTTGTGCTCTTGTGTCTCAGGATTGTGCAAGCAGAAAGAAAAGGATCAGTTTTTGTTGAGTTGTAGCATGATGTTATGCACAATTGGAATTTATTAAGGAATTGACAATTGGGAGTTGCTTGGATCAAAAAGTGCTTGGATCACAAGCAACTTCCAACTGTTAAACCCCTCAATCGACAGACAACCCCCTCGGCCCCTCCCCCCCAACACAAACACCTCCTTTACAATTCCAAGCAACTCCCAACTGTCAATTCCTTAATAAATTCCAATTATTGGATCAGAAAGTGTTTTCTGAAAGTATTTTGTGAAAATTGTGCCTGAAAAGGACTTTCTAGAAGTATTTTGTGAAAACTATGTCTTAAAAGTACTTTTTGGAAGTATTTTGTGTAAACTGCGCCTTAAAAAATACTTTATGAAAGTATTTTGTGAAAAATGCGCCTTAAAAGCACTTTATGGAAGTATTTTGTGAAAACGGTGCCTTAAAAGTACTTTCTGAAAGTATTTTGTGAAAATTGTGCCTTAAAAGCACTTTCTGGAAGTATTTTGTGAAAATTAAATCCTAAAAGTGCTTTTTGGAAGTAATTTGTGAAATATGCACATTAAAAGCACTTTCTGATAATAGTTTATTATTTATCAATA